TAAATTTTAATTTTTATATTCAGTTTATTCAACATTTCAATGGAAATGGGAAGTATTAATCTAGTTGTCTAAACAAAGTTCTCACACAATCAGGTAGAAGTTTACACTAGTTATTAATATCACAGTACAATACCTGGCAACCACATTCTTTATTGTTTTCCTTATTTAATGAAATACAGAAAAGACTTCCATTATTACATTTTTAAAAAATATTTGTACCTCCTAACTAGTTTTGAATAGCAGTAATGTTTTCATTCAACGAAAGAAGAAAACAAATGTTTAATATCAAAACCTATGAAAGAATGTAAATACAACTAAATGTAACTAAAGGATACAAAATAGTAACAATGACATATGCCACTTCTGGGTCCATAACTGAAGAGTTGTAGAGATTCCATGCACAAAAATAAAAACGATTTACTAACTTTTTTCTTAAAACCATAGTTCTTGCCAACAAAACTTCAAATTTTAATTTGTTCAAATTGTTCCAATTTGCCAAATCAATAATGTATAATCAGAACTTAATCCATTGATATAGTCTTAGTTCTACTTCCAATTCAAAACAAGTAACCATGAAGTTGAGAAATTACAGTACTTTCTTGATTGTCTGGATGCCAAAAATAAAAGTACCAAGAATTAGTTTTTAACATCCCTTTAATAACATAAAAAAGGTTACATAGGTATATATATATACATATATATCCCTGTGTGTGTGTGTGTGTGTGTGTGTGTGTATATATACATATATACAATATTTAGATTTTATAGGTGAGGCCTTATTTTGTATACATGGTCAAGTAATTTTATAAAGTCTAGATTAATGTACTACTATATCACCAATTTAGGAATTAATAAAACTAGTAAAATCAAAGAATATCAAAATGACTTAACTGATTAAACCTGAAGTTTTACAGAAGTATAAAATGAAATTCCTTTTAACTTTAGCAATGGAACAGAGGTAAAATATACTTGTAATAACTTATTTTTCAAGCCTATACTGTAATATAGTTTACAAAAACAGTGACTGTGGTACATCAGACTTTATATAACAGTAAGTGGTTTCTAATGATCAAGAAATACACTGGAAGATGAATGTCAAGAAGCCATTACTTCCACATAAAAATATTTTACCACCAGGAGGCTTTGAAATGCAAAGTAAATCACATGTACTATTTCTGAAGATAGCTGCCACCAGAACCATCAATCCACTGGAGTCTCAACTGCAATCTCAGCTCTTCTTGGACTTTATATAATTTGACAACACTGTACAGTTCTAAACATGTGTAAATAAACAGAATATCAAACAGCAGAGAAAATTGGCTTTTGCTAAGTACTAACCTAACTGTGTTTGGGATAAAAACGATGTAATTTCTAATTCTCATGGTGAAAATATAAGCAAAAATTCTATTATCACTATTCAACATTTACTAAGCATGCCCTCAATGCCCAACTAACAAAAACTTATGAGAAGGTAGAAATTACATACAAAATATCAGATGCTTGAGCTGCTTCTATACTATTCCTTATTTTCAAAATAAGCCAAATTATATATGATGAGTATATTCAGCTACCTGGTCAGTATAGTATAATGAATGATCTGTGCATGCACATGCTAACACAAAAGGTAAGAAATTCTTCAATTGACTCAGGGTTTCCCAAATATGGTATGTATGACTAACAGCTGAGAGGAAATACAACTGTAACTGTCTGCTGAAAATCCATTAAAATCTAAACACAGAAAAATGCCTCGTTGACAGTATAGTTGGATGTGCAAATTTATGTAGGAATGTAGCCAAATTTGTGGCAATTCCCTCATGGTCTTAGATTTATTAACAATAGCCCTTTCTTTCTCAGTTGTAATGTTATATTTAAAGAACGTTAGTTGAGTTGGAGGACCTGCCTGATCTTTAAAACAATTGGGGAGGAAGGCAGCAAATCACACTGCCACGTGTGTACCTATGCAACAACCTTGCATGTTCTTCACATGTACCCCAAAACCTAAAATGCAATAAAATAAATAAATGGGGGGGAAAAAAAAACAAATAGTCTAAAGGCTTGGATATACAAAGGCATGGAATTTCAAATACAAACAAAAATTTGCACAAAAAAAGTATGTTCTACAAAAGCTGACATATGCAACTCTCAAAAATCAGTACCTCAGAAAAGCTAAGCATACTGTTTTGCATTTTATTCTACATTTGCCTTTGAATACATTCATTATTTTTTAAATTTTTCTGCAAAAATGGTTTATTTGGATCATTATTTTCTCTGAAATGAGTGTTATTAAAATAATTCATATGTTAACACATATGCTCTTAATATACTATTTCACAGATTTATTTTCAGTATTTGCTTGTTCTTAGGAGTAAATTAAGTACTTAACTCTTACAAGTCATTTAACAACCACATTTGATTCTAGTTACTCTGTACTGAGCCCCTTCTATGCCCTCAATTCTGTGGAATGTTATATCAAAAAATAAAACCATGGTATTTTTTTAATCAAGAGTTTATAATTCAATAAGAGTAAAGGTTAAACAAATGTATGCATTCAAAGGCACAAATATTCTACAGCCAGCTCTAATTAGTGTGACAATATAAAATAAAATTAATTGACCATTTTGAAGGAAAAGTATTATAATTTTTCAGGTGAACAATAATGAGAGATAAAATTGACACAATACTTTGCAGTTTACTTTGCACAATTCTCATGAAATTCCCTGCATCCTCAGAACGCCCCATGAGACTCCATGAGCATGATTTCCCATTTTATTGATGAAGAACCTGATATCCAAAAAAAGGAAGAAACTAAACCAAATTTACACCCTACTTCTCACAGCTAAATCAAAACTGCCACTGGACCTATAAGTTCTTCCACAAAAGTAATCTAATTTGATCATTATAACAACTCTATTATAAAATAATAGCAGCTAATATTCATTGACTACATACTATGGGGCAGGCGCTGTTCTATGCTATGTTAATTCATTCACTGCACACAAAACTCTAGAAGGAAGGGTTCTGTTATTACTCCCATTTTACAGATGAAGAATCTGAGGCTCAGAGAAAATAGGTAACTTGCCCAAGATCACACAGCCAGTAGGCATGAGCATCATGCATCATAAGTTAAACTCAGAGCCTCTGGTTGCAGCATTAATAATGTTCTTCACCACCAGCTTACTCTTAGGTAAGTTAATATACAGCAGGTTAAGAAACTTGCCCAAAGTCACAAGGAAAAATAAACTGCAGAGAAACAGCAAGAAGAATGTCTCCTAACTTTTCTCCCTAGTTCTTTTTCTAAACCTAGAATAATTAAAATCATTAAATCCAGAAGGGGCAAAAAGCTTTGGGACATGTAGGTAGTTCTTTGAAGCAGAATATGAGCAGGTAAGGACCAATGATGGAGTAGCAAGGAGAAGAGATTCCATCAGGCCAAAGAGGACTTCCTCTCCACAGACTGATGGGAAAAGAGAGTGTGATCAGGGATAAGTATATTTGTTATTCTGATTTAGGGAGGACGAATTCAGATGAGTGGAGAGGGAAGGCTCTAATTAAGAAAGTTAGTAAAAGTGAAGCACTACACAGATTTCTTTTGAAAGAAACACCACTAAAAGACCTGGAATAGGTATTGTAATGCTTTCATAAGAAATGATCCCCCCACCATAGTCGAAAGTACCTAGCACACAGAAAGAAATAATAGAACCACTGAAAGACCCTAACTACACATTTTCATTTTTTAAATTAAGATGTCAAGTATAGTTTAGCAATTTCTTTTCATTGTTAAAACCTTCCTGTGGAGTAGAGACTAAGAGAACATAATTAACATAATATCATTCTCATTTTTTTTCATACCATGATTCTATGGTGCTGGTTACTTTATAGATCTTCCTCAAAATCACATCGAAATCAGCTGAAGGAAGGACATTAAAACTACATCCCATGCGAATGGATAAGCTAAAATACCAACCTAAACCTAAAGTGTATGTTAAAAGTAGAATTTGCAATAAATATGGAAAAACTAATCACGGCACAGACCAAAAGCAATGATGCCAGGATTTTGGTAAGAAGCACTTTTGAAAAGACATATTAAATGAGGAAAACTAACCTTAATGGAATGTCTTCTCTCATTACTTAAAAATAAACCAGGTCACTGAGATGAGCTTACACTATGGTATTTTGTTCATTTTAATTTCATTTTTATTTCATCAAACCATAAATTCCCATGGAAATACCTCAGACACGTGCCCACAATAATTGGAATGCCTAACATTTCATCATAAGTACTTTTGCATGAGTTCAACAAAATATAAAGAATGCAGTGAGAGCCCTCCAAGTTTTTTACTTATGTCAACAGCTATTTTACGAGTATGAATTATCTCTGTAGCTATAAACTGCATGTGTAAAATACATTACATGAGTCTCTGTGAAACTTTAATGTGGAAGACCAAGTAAAGGTCTGAGCTGCACACAGAAACATCAAAATAAAACTGAACTTCCTAGAATATAACAATCATAATTTTTTTCTCCCCTAAGCTATTACTGTTAAATATACCTTGATGAATTAAGTTCAAGTGTAACTACAATTGAAATATATGATTCAACTGAGCTATGACCTATTTTCCTCTCAAAAGCAAAAGGGAATTATGACAGTTGTGAGACTTCCATTTTTCCATTCCATGGTCCGTCTAAAAGTTATTTTATACTAGAACTATAAGCAAAGTACACTTAAGTGACATTTATTTGCTTTAAAATATAGTTATTCATGCCATTGCTCATAGGACAGATAGAATTTTAATAGCAATGTATCAGATAATTATATCTGTCCATTTATTTTTAAACTGTGCAGACCAAGAGGGATTCAGGAAGGAAATAATCTCAATATGTAATATGATACCTAAGTCTAAAATTCTGTTATAATTACATGATATATTTACATACAACATAACCTATAATCAACATGACAAACACAAAATTAACCAATATATGTGGTTGAAAATACCCACCCCTAGCAGAAAGCTTTTTGGTGTTGATAATTTTGGCAGCATATTCTTGTCCAGTAGGAATTTTCATACATCTTCTCACCACTGAGAATGCCCCCCTGGAAACCAATAATTAGCAGGTCATTAATATAACAGATATAATATTCCATTAAAAATTTATAAAATCTGACCATTTTAATGGATTTTAGTGGGTTGTCAGTGAAGTACAGTGATATCCAGTAAATGAACAATTCTTCCTGGAAGCCCATACTTTCTTTAATGTTGAAGAATAAAAGTAAATTTCATTTCACTGGGAGCACACATTATTAATCAACAAAATGAAAGGAACTGCCAGTTACGACCGTTCTTGTTTGCACATGATATCTGAAAATATTTTACAGTTCACACTCACAGCACCAAATGCTCTGAGAAAAACCCTGCACAGAACAGAGCAGAGGAGGAGCCGCAAAAAAAATCTGCTGCCTACTTGTTTTGGTAGGAAACAAAAATTAATGTGGTTCCAAGTAAGTCAACATGGCGATTATTTTCAGTAAAATATAAATCTTGAGCAAATTAGTGTGGTTTAACAAATCCTGGTACAGTGATTTCTCTATGCCTTGTTTTGGTCTGGGGGAGGGGAGAGATTTGAATTAAGCTGCTCTTCCAACATATTCTCCATGTTTTAACAGCAGACAATATATACATATATAATTTTCATTACCTTTAAAAAATATTTACCTTTCCTTTAATTACAGTATAAACCAACAACATACATATAAATGCACTCCTTTTATAAAAGTAACAGTTGAAACTAGTGAAAGAGGAATTGGATTTGGGTTCGATGCTACAAAAATCAGCATTCATGGCTTGGCCCCTAGGTTCCTTTGCACAAGTCCTCAGTAGTGTCTCCTGTCTCCAAGTAGTTCTGCCAGTCAGGTGAATGAGTGGTTTTACACAATGCTAGGCTACTCTTAAGAGCGCTCTCAGTCTCCAGAGGGCTTTTCCGCTGCCTATATAAATAAATCCTCCTAGAGAATGCAAAGATGCACACGTAATTCCTAGGAAGAAGGATGGTGAGCGAGTAATCTGGTGCAAAGAATAACAGTGGATATAGGACAAGGGGCTGGGTCCTGTTGGGTGGCCCTTTTCCTGGACAGAACAACTACTGTATGTGAAATAGACTCTATGCCAAGTAGAACTTTCGGCATCAATAAATATGGCACCGTCTGAGGCTGTGAGTTCTCATCAGTACGTGACGGGTCATACGGCCGACACGCCAGCTAACCAGGAGGCATCTCTATTTACAGAAAACATGACCTATGTTGCATTTTACATGGGTTCTAATTTCCTCTCTAAACACATATTACACACAGGCGCGCGCGCACACTTCTGAGGATGACAGCTACAACTGCAGAGATCGTAAATTCACCAAGTCTCTCAGTGCAGGAGGGTGGGGGAGCGGGAGAAGGTGGGCTAGGGACTATCAAAATGAGCCACAGTCACGGTAAGGATCCTACCCCTTCTGTGCTCCCTCCCCTTACTAAGCACCTTCCCCAGAGCTGACAAACCAGGGGCCCTCCTCCCACTCCTCTTGTCTCCCAAACTCCCTCTCCCCACGACGGAGGCCCGTGGGTCTGGGGCAACGAGACCCGCCCTCAGCTGGAAAGGGGACGTGCAGATGCCGGGCAAAGGCGCTTACTTTCCAAGCTCCTCGAAAAGCTGATACTCGTCCGTGAACCTGGTGCAGGTGGTGGTCGAAGCCATCCTCGGTCCGGGCTTTGCCCTGGCTGGGAGTGCGACGGAGGAGAAGAGAGCAGACACGCGGCTAACCCCGGGACTGGCCCCGCGGCGCTGTCACCTAGGGCAGCCCTTACTTTCCTAGTCCGAAAGTAGCTCGCCCGCGAGGGAGTGTGCGCAGGGGCGGGGCGGGAAAGAGATGACCAGAAAGGGTGGCGTGGGGTCTCCTCCCCACGGTCCGCCGATCCTCCGCCTCCTCCTGAGGGCCTCGCTTCCTTCTTCTCCACTGGACGGTCCACCCGCCCCTTTTCCAGTCCCTGTCCCCAGATGCAGGGGGTAAAGTACTCAAGAAGAGGGGGCCGGGATATGGAAAAACAGCCGGGCACGGGGCGAGTGGAGAGCAGTTGCGAAACGATCCGCACTGGGGCAGGAGGGGCAGAAGCGAGGGGAGGGAGTCCGAGGGGGCGGAGGCGGAGTGCAGCAGGGCCGAGGCCGTGGAGCCCGGAGCGGACAGCCGGAGCCCAGCGGCAGCTGCCAGCAAGCTCAGACGCGGAGCGCGCCGGGGCTCGGGAGAGCGTGCGCGCCCAGGACCGGCTTCCCGTCAGTGGGCAGCAGCGGCTCCGGCGAAGCCAGGCACCGTGGCGGCCTCGCGCTGATCAAGAGCCCGCGCGGCTTCAAGACGGCGCGGCAAGAGAAACAGCGCTCGGCTCGGGCGAAGCCTCCTCTGCCGTCCCCAGGCCTCCGTCTCCTCCCCCGGCGCCTCCTCCCGCCGCTCCCTCCGCCTGCCAGCACCCCTCCCAGGCGAAGCCCCCTCCTCGCTGGTCCCACACCTCCCTCTAGCGACTCCAAGCCTGTCCCTTCGTGGATCTCTCGCTCTCCCTCCTTCGGTCGCACACACGAGCACACCCGTCTAGGGAGAAACCAGGTGGATGGAGGAGGATGTGCGGGGGAGAAGCCTGGAGGTTTGTGTGAATGAGGCGAGACGTCACAGTTGCCCATTTAAACCTGCTCCCAGAAGCCTCCTCAGTCTGAGACTGAGCACAAAGATGCGGGGCAACTCGAGCATGGCCCGGGGATGCCGCCCAGGGTCGTGGAAGCTCACGCCCCTGTTTTGGGCGCTGGGCAGCAGGGACTTCTCCAGGCCGGTTCCCGGGCCACGACCCCCGGCGTGGCCGAGTAAGGGAGAGCAACCACTTCTCCGCGCCGCTCAGTGTTGACACAGCAGGGGCCGGATGTGGGCAGTACATTGCTCTCAGAGAAGGTCCCAACCCTTCCCACAGCCTCCGGCGACTGTCGGGGCGCAACTCTGCCTCAGCCGCGTTCACTGCGTCGCCCGCTACCCAGCGCCGGGCGCAGGTTGTCTCCCTCCCCCGCAGCCCCTTCTGCAAGGAGCAATGACGGCCCTGAGCCACATTTCACTTCAGATTTGACTGCCACCTCCAGGCCCACCTCCCCCGCTGTTTTCCAGGATGGTGGCTGAGACCCTGGCAGTCCCCAAAGGTCTTTGCTTTGGCTGTGAACGTTAAAAGAACGAAAGCAAAAACTCCGCCACTCAACCACACCTTCCCTTCCCTTCTGAGTAACTCCCCAGTAACCTCAGCAAGTTCTGATAGTAAGGCGGGTTCTCGCGAGATTTCCCACTCTGGCGGACGGGCGAGGTAGTAGGAAGGTTGGGTGTCGGTCACGCGACTCGGTGGGGGCTGACGTAATTCACATCACGTGAACATGCCTAGCCTGTTTCGCTTTGCAAAGGGAAAAGGGAAAGAAGAGGTCGTGTGTGCTTTGCTTTCGGCCAGATAGTGGCAATTGAGTGCACTCCGTAAATGGCTATCTGAAAAACCACTTAGCAGTTCAAGAATGTGTCCTTCCCTTTAGCATATCTGCCATTGTTTTAGTAGGAGTGGAAAAAAGTATGCATTACATTTAAAATAGATGTTATTGCCGATTGCTAGAACAACTTCTGGGCCCTTCAGTTCTCTTTAATAAAACTATGCAATTACAAATTTAGATGCAGACCGAAAACAGCCTTATGGAAGATCTTTTTCAAATTATTACCTTTTGTTCTACAGCACGGAACTATAAAAACCTTGCAATCCTAATGCTAATTTGCTCGTTTTATTACTTCATGGACTTAAAATTTCACAGCTGAAAGATAAAAGATAACTTGCAGATACAAGAGAATCTAAGATTTAAAGGCGCTGTTGTGTAGTCCCAGAGGCTGCTATTAATTAATGTTACTTTGTGGTCATAGATAATCCCAATTCCTTTATTTCCTGATCTGAGGGACACTTCTGCCAATGACTGAGCTTTTACTGAAGTACTAAAAATGTTCACAAATTTTAACGTTTATTACAACAAAATTGAATTTCGTGTGTGTTTTGATTTTCAGCCATAAAGGGCAAGGAATAACTGTGTAAAATGTAGTGCTATAGAAAACGATGATACCAAAAACTGCGTAAAACAAACATGGTCTCTAAATATTAATAATTCGGCTATAAATTGGAAAAAAAAATTCGGTCTTGGCTAAAGATTTTTAGTATCTGAACTATTTACCAATGTGGCTCCAAGGTGATAATGAAATAATATTCTTCCCTGAATCTAAAAATGAAACAGAAAAAGTAAAATTGAAACAATAAAGATAATATAAAAGTTTACATCAAGGAAGAAAATGTTTCTTAAATATTCAAGTAATGAAGTCTACACAATTACAGTATTTATCTCAGTTATTTGAACTACCAATAATTGTAAATGGTTTTAATTGTGCAGTACAATGAAAGAAACATAACTGAGTTTTAATACTGATATATTATTAGGCAATAATGTACATTTTTTTACAGCAAACACTGCTTAATCTGTAGTGCTCTTTGATTTATATTTTAGACTAAATAAAATATTTCTCTTATTTGAACAAATATTTAGTTATTTCTGAAGTTTGAACCTCCTTAAGAAAGTAGTCAGATTGGCTGGGCACAGTGGCTCACGCCTATAATCCCAGCACTTTGGAGGCCAAGGCGGGTGGGGGTGGATCACCTGTGGTCAGGGATTCGAAACCATCCTGGCAAACATGGAGAAACCCTGTCTCTGCTAAAAATGCAAAATTAGCCAGGCATGGTGGTGCATGCCACTTCAACATTATTTCAGGAATAGCTACAAAATAGAGTTAAATTCTGAAAAGTGTAGATCTATAAACGGAATAACACTGGATGTTAGTGCCAAATGTATTTACAGTTCATTATACATGCCTTACTAACTGCGTGTCTGATGAACATGCACTTAATTAGAACAGGCAGTCTGATGAACATGGTAGGGGAAGTTAAGAGGGAGAGTTAGTAAAGAAAAATTAAAGTTGTTAAAGATAATGAGGCAGGCTTTATTCAAGGGGGTCCATGGTGACCAGAACCACTGCAACCAGGTCTTGCAGGAGGAGAAAGAGAATGGACTCTATTCCAACTCTTAAAAGGTCAAGTGGGGATTTATAAGCAAAGAGCAGGGTAAAGGGCTGTGGATATAAAATAACTAAGTATTCTCTCTATTTCCTCTTTGGCAACTTGGAATTTAAAAAATGTATGTCTTCAGTAATTGCACTCAGAAAGGACAAGTTTCTAATGCTGAAGGAAACAAAGGCAGATATTAACAGATACTAACATTCATTGATTTCGCTTGCTACAAAGTTATAAGATAAGAAAACAACGAAGAGATAATATAGCTCCCCAAATTGCAAAGTCCATCAGTAAAAAGCAGATTCCTTTGAAAATTTTGGCAGGCACTGTGTTGAAGCCATTCTTCACTGCAGATTTGGAGGGTAGGGGAAAAAAGCAACAGCAAGTTGCTGCTTCTCCAAACTATGATAACTAAACCATATAGAGCCAGATAGTCTATTGGTGAGCAGATAATCTATTTACCAGACCATCCATCAGTGCAAGATGAATTTGCAGGTAAGGAATAAACTATTCATAAAAGCAAAGCTAATAACAGAAAATATTTTGTTTCATGTGCTGAATTTTTTTTCCAAAAATAAAAATAAATGTACAAATAAGAAAATAAGGGATATCTATACAATGAAGAAATGTCTCTTTTCCATTACTTCCAAGTACATTGGTCAGCATGCTTGACCCTCCATGAACATACATGTATCCCTGACACGCTGCTAAAAGAATTGCTGTAGGCAGTTACATTAATAAGTTGTATAATTCACAATGACTGTATAAAAGGTTATGGCATCAGTAATCAAATAAACAGATTTTGACTCTTCTGTGTACCTGTAATGATTTTCACTGACTTTCAACTGTTGCAACTCTTATTACATTGGATTATAATTAGACTGTCAGGCCCTTACTGGCAGGGACTGTCATTCAGTCCCCCCACCAACAGCCATAGCATAGGGTTTTCCCCACAACAGGTGCTCAAAAATACCTTTTTAAAAAATATATATATGAATATATGGTATTAACAGTCTTGTCTTTCAAAATATTTAAAATGCCCAATTTTTAATAGGGTATAATTAGGCCCCCTTTTTTGCTATATTTAGTAGATTCTTTATAATCCTGAAGTAATTTGACTTCTCCGTATAATGTAATACTCTTGACCTGAAATTCTCTCTGTTGGTTTTCATGTCTGGTATCACATTTTCTATTCACAACACCTCACCCATTCCACAACATTTCTGCCTCTTTTCTTCAATATCATTCCTGGGCTCTTTTTTTCTCTGCCTTTATGGTAAATAGTAATGCTTTAACCTAGGATTCCATCTTAGGTTGCCTTTTTTTCTCATTTTACACACCTTTCCTAGGTTGCCTTAATAACTCTGTGTTAATCACCATCTGTCTTAAATTTAACTCTCTAGATGTAAACCCTAAGACAAGAATGTATGGAAAAGGGATTTATAGAGGTAGTGTTTCCAGGGACAAGGATAATGATAAAGAAAAAAAAAATCATTTAATGACGCTTGCTGAAGTATAGTAAGACCGATTTTATTCAGACTATCACAGTAGGTATAGTGATTATTGCAAGGGAGTTTTGCAGTAGGGGAGAGAGATTGGGCTCAACTTCAAATGCGAAAAAAAGAAAAAGTGGAACTTTATATTTTTTTTCTTTTCTTTTTTTTTTCCCACTTATTTATTTTATTGCATTTTAGGTTTTGAGGTACATGTGAGGAACATGCAAGATTGTTGCATAGGTACACACGTGGCAGTGTGATTTGCTGCCTTCCTCCCCATCACCTACATCTGGCATCTCTCCCCTTGCTATCTCTCCCCAGCTCCCCACCCCCCACCGTCCCTCCCCTATTTCCCCCCAACTGACTCCAGTGTGTAGTGCTCCCCTCCCTGTGTCCATGTGTTCTCATTGTTCAACACCCGCCTATGAGTGAGAACATGCGGTGTTTGATCTTCTGCTCTTCTGTCAGTTTGCTGAGAATGATGGTTTCCAGTTTCATCCATGTCCCTACAAAGGACCCAAACTCATCGTTTTTGATGGCTGCATAATATTCCATGGTGTATATGTGCCACATTTTCCCTGTCCAGTCTATCATCGATGGGCATTTGGGTTGGTTCCAGGTCTTGGCTATTGTAAACTGTGCTGCAATGAACATTCGTGAGCATGTGGGAGTGGAGAAAGGTGGGTGAATGGAAAATTTCAAAGAGGGAACTTCTGTGGTAAGAGGATAGCCTGGCTAAACCTACCTAACAAGATTCTCAC